TATATATATATATATATATATATATATATATATATATATATATATATATATATATATATATATATATATATATATATATATATATATATATATATATATATATATATATATATTTATATATATAATATATATATACATATATATATATATTAAAAGCTTTAAATTCTGCTCAAAAAAGTTTCACAGATTGAAAGTTTATTTAAAACTTATTTTAAATAGGATCTCTGTTTAAGTAATTTAGATGAATGCACCTAAATCTAGACTCAATGTTTAGAGAAAAGCTGTTTTATTTTAAAAAGCCAACTTTGATTTAAAAAAAGAATTATAGAATGTTGTTTGAATAAATCCACATTTTTCTGAAAAAAGTGTTGCTCAGTATGCTCATAAATTTGAAAAATTTAAACCAGAAAAGTAATAAGGTCAGAAAATTTGAACCCAAAAAGTTTGAGGACAGAATAATTATTGTGTAATAAACTTTTTTACTTTGTATTTGTGAGTGTTTGTGTGTGTATGTTTATGTGTAAAAATATTAATAAAGTTGTTCTATAAATTTTTTTTTTAATATTTAGAGCGATGAAGATGATGAGGAAAATAAGCACTTAGACCTTAGTTTATCCCAAACAAACAAATATAAACTCAAGAAACTCCAGGTTACACTTTCTATGTTAATAATCTGGTTGTGTACTTAAGAAAAATTAGTCATTAGTTTGCACATAGTAATAGTAGTTTTGAACATAGTGGGTTGAATTTAAAATACTATTGATATTGATAAAATTGTAAAATAAATTTTGTTCTTCTTTTTTATATACAGGGTTGCCACCAAATCAGGGAAATCAGGGAATTCAGGGAAAATCAGGGAAATTTAGATACAATCAGGGAAAAGTCAGGGAAAATGATTGATTTAGGAAAAAAAAAAGGGAAAATCAGGGAACTTTTTAATTTTTCTTTAATGTTTTTAAATCTTCCTTTTTAAGGGTACCAAAGTTAATGTACAACATTTTTAAAGAAAATTAATCATATGTGTTTACATTAATTTAATGTTTGCAACATAATTCAAAGAAAAATGGTTAAGTGATCCTTTGTTTGAAAAATGGCTGGTAATAGGCAGTGTAAAAAAGTCAGCCAAGTGCAAAATATGCCTAGTTGAATTTAATTTGTCAAATATGCAGAAGAGCTATGATAAGTCATATGGATGGCAAAAAACATGTACACAAGTCAAAGCCAGTATCTTGCTTTATCATGCCTGCACAGTCCACATCTAAAAAGCAAGCACTTCAAACAGTAGATTAATGTGATAAAATTTGTACAGAAATCTACTCTGTTTTAAATGCAATACAAAATAATTTCTCATTGAACTCATGTAATGAAAATGCCTACTTTAACAGAAAATGATCCTTGATAGCAATATTGCTAAATCTTATGAAATGAGGAACAAAACTTGGTTATATAATTAATTTTGGTAATGGGTCTTATTTTTACAGACTTTTAACTGAAAATATAAAAAAAATCTCCTCTATTATACTCTTTCATTTAATGAAACCCTGAATGTATCTTTTAAAAATTGGATCTAAATATTCAGTTTTGGAACAGCAATCTAAATCGTGTTGAATCCAGATACTTTGACTCTAAATTTTTATGTCACCCCACAGCAAAGATTTTACTTAAAAGTATAACTCAACTAACAAATGTGAACTGGTCAACTAACAAATGTGAACTGGTCAACTAACAAATGTGAACTGGTCAACTAACAAATGTGAACTGGTCAACTAACAAATGTGAACTGGTCAACTAACAAATGTGAACTGGTCAACTAACAAATGTGAACTGGTCAACTAACAAATGTGAACTGGTCCCTTTTTAATCTTCTTGAATTGCAACATGATCAACAAGAGCTACCTAAACTTCTTAACGTTGGAAGTTGTAACCTTAATCTAATACATGGTTTCAAATCGGGTTTTCAATCTGCTTAATGGAATATAAAGAAGTTAATGTAAGCATCATACAACCTTTTTTATGGTTCTTCGGCTAGAAGAGCTGATTATGTAACTGTTAATGTGAGAGTTTTCCTTGTGCATTTTGCTCAACACATTAAGTTGTAGACCAAAAAGTTGCAGATAGACTTTGTTTAATTTAAGAGAATGTTAAAAAAAAGTATTGGGAGACACCTTCTAAGTGAGCAACCAAAATGAAAGAGCTATGACAAGTGTTTGGGGCAGAGTTGTTAACAAGACCAAAAGTATCAAGACCGAGGCCAAGGCCACGCATTATAATTCCAAGGCCAAGATCAAAGCCAAAAGTTACAAGACCAAGGCCAAGAGTTTAAGGTCAAGGCCAAAAAAATCAATTTTATTATTATTTTTTTAAGGCCAAGGCCAAAACAATCAATGCCAAGGCCAAAATTTTTAGTTCAAGGACTAACAACTCTGGTTCGGGAGAACAAAAGATAACATGCTTGGATCTAGTCAGTGTCAAATCTTTCTAAACAAAAAGCTGGTTTCTTTCATCAGATGAAATCTGTACTACATCTAGTTCTTACATATTACTTTAAATGAATGTGATCAAGCTTTCATACAATTAGGAAAGTTCATCTACTCTTTGACTTACATTCAAATATTTTCACACTGGAAGTTGTTTAAACAAGTTTTATTTTGAAACAATTAAAGTTGGTGTAGATTATAAGGCTTTGTCAAAAGTTTTGATATTTATTTTTTAATTATGTTATGGGCAAGCATCAATTGAGAGAGGTTTCAGTATTACCAGTAATATGCTCAGTGAAAAAATGAAAGAAATGTCACTTATATCTTGTTGCACTATCAAGGATTTTAAGGTGTCAAACAAATTGAAGTCTCACAAAATAGAACACAAAATTATAAATGCTGTTTGTAGTGCCTCATTACCATATGAAAACTATGTGATAATGCTTTTAGATCAGGAAATATTAGAAAGAAAAGCAAAAAGTATTAAACGATGTATGTAAACATACAATTAGAAATTTATTACATTCATTACATTTTTTTGAATTTCGTTATCTTGTACCCTAGATAAGTCTGACAGGTTTTCAATGCCTGTTGAACATATTTATTTTAAATATACCCTGGTTCAAAAAAAAATTTCATATGTTGATTGAAGTATTCGATTACTTATTTTAATTTTCAAGCAAATTGATTGGTTTATTGCTTATTGGGGGATTATAGTTTTTTTAGAGATAAAAATGCTCTGGGGTTATTAGGGAAGTTTTAATGTTAAGTTTGGGCATTTGAATGCTGGAAATATCATGAAAAATTCAAGGGGAAAAATCAGGGGGAAAAAAGGAAAATTTTAGCAAAAAATTAGGGAGAAAAAAGCAAATTTTTGGCAAAAAAATCAGGGAAAATCAAGGAATTTTGTTCCTAAATAACTGTGGCAACCCTGTATATAATTTACTATCAACTGTTATTTTTACTATCATTAGGGTATTATAATATTTTATTTTTTAATAATTAGAATGACAAAGAAAACTTGAAAATAAATTTATTGAATACGCCTACACAAACAAGCAGTTGTGTGGTCAAGAAACCCTTTAGTGTCCAGGTTCTGTTTTTTATTTCAGTTAGAATTGAATGTTTTAAATTTTGATTTGTTTATGTTTGTTTTGTTTTTTTCTAATTTGTGTAAAAAATGTTTTTTTTGAATTTTCATTATTTACTTGTTTGATTTTTCTTTTACTTGAATATATATGTTTATATTTTTTTACACTTAAATATGTATATTACAAATGAATATATATATATATATATATATATATATATATATATATATATATATATATATATATATATATATATATATATATATATACACACACACACATATAGATGCAAGCTGCTCCTTTAAAAAGCATTTTAAAAGTGCTTTTGGTTTGTTTGTGAGCTATTTGTTTATTCTTTAAACTAATTCTTTATTAAACACAAAGTTTGGCTATCCATTTATTTATAAAAATTTTTACTTATTTATTTTTAATTATTTAACTTTACTTATTTGATAAAAAATTAGACAAAGAGCTTTAAAGTTTTTTACTTTTTAAGTTTTTATTGCTTATAAAAAATATTTTATATTTTCTTGCTGTAATTTAAAGCAGAAAGTTTTAGAATTATTACAGCAGTTTAGGATTCCACAATAAAAGTGTTTATATAATTATAATTTTTTTTAGCAGTACATTTAGTTGTGCATTATCTTTTTTTATTTTGCTCAAATCGAGACAAAATATATAGTTGGCTATAATTAATATATAAAATATATAATTAATGCATAATATAAAAATTATTACTCAATAATATATATATATATATATATATATATATATATATATATATATATATATATATATATATATATATATATATATATATATATATATATATATATAAATATATAATATATATATATATAATATATATATATATATATATAATATATATATATATATATATATATATATATATATATATATATATATATATATATATATATATATATATATATATATATATATATATATATATATATATATATATATATATATATATATATATATATATATATATATATATATATTAGGGCTGTACCGAATTTTGGCTCCTGCTCTTGCTCCGGCCGAAATCCAGCCTTTTTTACAAATTCGGCCCAAATCCGGCTCCGGCAAAATGTTAGCAAATTCGACATAATTTGGCCGGATTTCTAAATTTTGGTCAGATGTTTATTACATCTTTCTTGCCCGTGATAACATGTACACTTAATATTTGATTTTTACAAACCAATGTTTTAAGTAATCCTATAGTCGATGAACTTCACATTTGTTTTTTTTGGATCGAGCTTGTTTTGCTGGATTTGAAAATCCAGCAAAACAAGCCCGGCTGGATAATTCTTATACATTATCATCATTACAATGGCAGTATATATAGATGAGATTATTCAGTCTACGCTTGTGGCACAGCAGATGAACAACAATTACCAACAGGCATTGATACTCAACTAAGCCAATATCTGGAAGAATTAGAATTATATAGACATACTGATTCACTACAGTGGCGGAGTGACAACATCCCAGAAAAAAAAAGTAATTTAGAATTTCACTAAATTTTTGAAACATATGGCATATAGAATATAGAATTTATATAAAATGTCTATTAATTTCTATAGAAATTGCTATAAAACTTTTAAACAACAAAAATGATGTTTAATAGAAAACAACCCGACAGGCATTTGTTTTTAAAAGTTACGTTCTGAATGTGTTTTAAATGTCTTTTAAATGTCTTTTAAACATTAATGTTTAAAAGACGTTTAAAAGACATTTAAAATACATTTAGATCGTAACTTTTAAAAAGAAATGCCCGTCGGGAACTGTCACTTGGTGATCTAAATAGTCAACATTGTTGACTATTTTCAACACCAAGTAGGGATATACAGGATTTTGGTTCCTGTAGTTTTGCTTCAAAATCCGGCTTCGGCTCCGATTCCGGCCGGGTCTGTTAGTAAAAATCCAGCAAATCCGGCTCCGGCCGGATTTGGAAAAATTAAATCCGGTACAGCCCTAATATATATATATATAAATAAAATATATATATATATATATTATATATATATATATATATATATATATATATATATATATATATATATATATATATATATATATATATATATATATATATATGTATGTATATATATATATATATAATATATATATATATATATATATATATATATATATATATATATATATATATATATATATATATATATATATATATATATATATATAAATGCACTTTTTGTGTTTTTATTTGTTTGTTTGAATCACATAGCATAAGTGAGTTCAAAAACAAAAAAGAACAAGAAAGAGTCAAGAACTACTTTTTTAACTTAATTAATCTGTAATAGCTGGATTATGATATATGAATAAAATCACAAAAAATACATTTTTTGCTAGTATTTTATCCATTTTGGCCAAGACTGTATATATATATATATATATATATATATATATATATATATATATATATATATATATATATATATATATATATCTATATATATATATATATATATATATATATATATATATATATATATATATATATATATATATATATATATATATATATATATATATATATACATATATATATATATATATATATACATATATATATATATATATTTATATATATATATATATATATATTTATATATATATATATATATATATATATATGTATATATATATATATATATATATATATATATATATATATATATATAATAACTTTTTCATCTTAGTTGCATCGATAATGCTTTCTATTTATAAACAACTATGTGAACTCAACCATATTGTCATTAATGCTATATTGATACTACATGGTATTTCACACCAAGGATTTTAAAAAAAATCTCTCTGCACTATACATTTGTGTATGAAAAGAAAAAAAAATTCTTTTTTTTTTAATCCTACTATAACATTGTAATTATGTACTTATAGTATTATAATGTTTATATTCACATTTATAATACTAAAATTCTGCTTTACCAAAAACAAACCAATTGTTGTAGTATGAAATAACTATACTATAAAATATAATATAAAATGATATAATAGACATGGATTTAAACTCTAAACATTTATGATTATACTTACGTTGAATAAGGATACTTTGCAAAAAATTGGGATGATTAAAGTCTGGGAACCAAAAAGCCCCAAAACCTTTTCCCCCTCCTGCCCCAAATGTGAGAGCAACATATTAGTAATATATTTATTTTACTATTTTTAATTAGACTTATATTTATCAATAAATTTTAAATTTCATAAAATAATCACTCAACATTCAAAAATTATGACCTTACTAAGTTTGAATCCCCCTCAATTTGAAATTATGACTTTACAAAGTTTGAATCCCCCTCAATTTGAGGGGGTCGCAAATTTTACAAAGTCATAATTTTTTAATGCTAGTGATTATATTATGAAACTTAAAATTTATCGATGAATAAAAGTATAGTAAAGAGAATTAAAAAAATATATTAATTTGTTGCTCTCACATTTGGGATTCCGGAAGCTGCAGAGGTTTTATGGCTTTATTGTTCTCAGACTCCAATCATTGCAATTTTTTGCAAAGCATCCTTATTTTCTCACCTCCCACTCAATCAATAGGTGAGAAGAAGTAATTTAATTAAAAGTAATCAAGAAATTTAAATAAGAAGGATTTTAAAAAAAGAGCTCTTACCAAAAATAAAAAGTGAAAGTATTTTTACTTATTTATTTGTTTATTGACAAAATAAATTCTTTAACACATTTATTTACAAGTTAACAAAACATAACATTTTTCAATTTTTTCCACCTATATATGTCACAAATATGTCATTCTATTATTCTAAAGATAAATTGAATAAATGGAAAAAAAGACATCGCATATAAAATTATTTTGTCAGTGTTTAAATTGACATATTGATCCTTGAAATTTCATAGATTCCATAGAAGATTCTCACACCCCTCTGCCCCCTCCCCTGTTCCTATGCCAGTGTGTATATATATATATATATATATATATATATATATATATATATATATATATATATATATATATATATATTAACATTAAACATTTAGCTACATCTGCAGTAGGACTTTAGTTTATTTTTCTAAACATCAACAAAGCTTCAAATGATAAAAATAAAAAGTAATAAATGTTTAATGTTAATAATAACCTATAAAAACTAAAAATCATTCATTTATCATTATGTGATGAAATTCTTATTGTTCCTGGAGCAACATCACAATTTGTTGTTGCGACTGTACTGGCTAATTGAAAGTTAAGCAACAATTATGAGCAATCCCCCAATAAAAATTAAAATTAAAAATTTTAAAATTTATTATTTTATACAGGATTTTTTTTTAACTGCTTTAACCTCTTCAAAAAAAAAAAAAAAATACAAAAAAAAAAAAAAAAAAATCTTTACAAATCTGTCCACTGAAAAAATTTATATAATAATAAACAACATATGGTATGTATATATATACAGTACCGACAGAAAGTTTCCAGGCCACTGTATATATTTTAAATAATTTCATCAGTATTTGGAATATCCACCCCTGGCTTTCAACACCGCACCAATGTGCTTTGGCATTGACTGAACAAGACCCACACAACACTCAACAGAAATATTATTCCATTCAGTTTCTAGCAATATAAACAGTTCTGTAGCATTCTTTAGCTTCTTTCCTTTAATTTTCTAAATTAAAATTTCCCACAAATGTTCTATAGGATTCAGATATAGAGAGTGAGGAGGCCAGTTCATTACATCAACTTTATTCCCCTGAAACCAGTCCATCACAGTCCTTGCCTTATGGCAAGGCACATTGTCCTGCTGGAAATACCAGTCATTTGCACCAAAAGTTGCAGCAGCAGAAGGCAGCATACATTTCTTCAGCAAATCTACTTAATAGCATTTAAACTGCCTTCACACCTGTGAAGCATTCCAACCCCGGCTGAACTCATGCACCCCCAGATCATGATGTTGCCTCTACCAAACTTCACAGTGGGCATAATACATTCTTTTTTGAGTTTTTCATGTTTTCTTCTTTTCACAAACACTCTTCTGGATGAAATAAACACTTCAAATGAGCTCTTGCCACCCCATAAAACAGATTTCCAATCTTCTGCAGTCCAGTCTTGATGTTGCTGAGCAAACTCCAACCTTGCACATCTATGAGTGGCAGTCAATAGGGGCTTCCTGATAGCCACACAACCTCTTAAACCTGCCAAATTTAGTCTATTTTTCACTGAAGTGGTTGATACTGTAACTCCATATTCATTGTGCCATTTATTCTGCAGTTCTGGTGCAGTTAGATGCCGATTTTGCAAACTTAGTCTCAGTAGTGCTCGATCCTGTCTCTCGGTAGACTTCCTGGGTCTTCCTGCACAAGCTTTATCTTTCACACTACCTGTCTGATTATATTTCTTTATCAACTCATCAACAGTTTGTCTTCTAACTTTGATATCTTTTGCAATAGAATATATATATATATATATATATATATATATATATATATATATATATATATATATATATATATTCTAATAAATAAGACGGTTTGGAGGTTGCATCCAAAATTGAAAAACTAGCATGATTAAAACTATTAGAGCAGCTTTTATTTGTATAAATATTTTTATAAATGTGCATATTTTTATCCCTTTTATAGTGTTCGATTATTGGTGTCTTAAAATGTTGAGTAGTTTTGCCAATATCACAGAATTCAGAGCCTGGACATTCAAATTTATAGACAACTAATGGTTTAAAGTCTATAGGAAGGCAATCTTTTGCCCTTTTTTTTTGGTTAAATCATATATTTTTCCAATATAAGGAAGTTTAAAATATTTATAGTTTTGAAGGTTTTTTTGAACGCAATGAAATGTCGACATTAGTGTTGTTAATATAAGAGCTATGGATTTTCTCAATCAACCAAGACTGCTACAAGTTTTTTTTTATTTATTTACACTTTTGCCGATAAAAAAAAATTTACAGTCGTAACTTATAAAAAAAAATAATTACATGACCGGGGCTAGAAGAAGACAAATTTAGTCTTATCATTAAGCCCCAAGTTGTGTTTGAGAACTTTAAACTGATCATTTTTATCATGACTAAGACCGAGACTAGCATTGTTTATTTTATAAGGTCTATCGATTAAACATTAAACAGACTTATTTTGTATGAAAATGAAGTAAAATTAAAAAAATTTGTATTATATTGGCAAAACTACTTGCCATTTAAAGACATAAATAATTGAGCAGTATAAAAGGAATAAAAACTCGCACATTTATAAACATATTTGTTCAAAAGAAAGCTTTTTAAGTATTTTAGTCATGTTAGTTTTTCAATTTTATATTCTGCCTTCAAAAAATATTTTTATAAAAATTTATTAGCTAGAAACACTTACGTGTTTCTAGCTAATAAATTTTTATAAAAATATTTCTTTCATTCAACTGAACGTCGGTTAAATGAAACTTTTTTTTAAACAACTTAAACAATTTTTTTTATATAAAAAATAATGAAATTAACGGAACTTAAGAGAATCAACGGAAATTAACGAAAAAATATCGGTCCGTTAAAAAGTTTTAACGGAAATTTTCCATTTATTACTGTCCATTAAAAATTTTTAACCTGACGTTAACGGTAACGGGCGGATTTACCGGACGGAAAAATCAAACGCCTTTGTCTAATTTTTCTAATATTTTTAAGAATTATTTTTATATTAAATTATAATACCTGAATATTAAATTATAATACCCGACTCTTTTAAAGTTTTTAGTATTTTAAAGTATTTTAGAATTCTAAGGAAAGATTTAAAAATAATATAAGTTTTATCTATTAACAAGTTAGAAAACTCTGTGCTAAAACACTTGCAAATGAGTAGCAATAGCAGAATGTTGGTTTTTAAAATGTTATAGGATTTTGATATAGTGTTAATTATTTTCCATTCTCTTTTACATTTTATGACACATGGTCGACAACTGATTAAATCTAGCAGAATGGTATCTGACAAACACTTGTTTGCATTTATTGTAGGAAGGTATCTAGCAGGTACTTGCAGTGCCTTGTGTAAGAATACTTATATACCTGACAGACACCTTTTGCGGTTTAGATATCTGTCCTTATTTGGACACCCTTTGAATTATATTAAATCTAGAAGCATCTGAAGGTCTGGATGTCAAAAAAAAAAGGAATTTTAATTGTTTTTAACAATATTTATAATATATTTATTTTAAATATTAATTATATTATCGTAATTTATATTTAGTAACATTTTTAATTATTGATTTCATTTAAATTATTTTAAGAAAATGGAGAATTTTTTAATAGGACTGGTTTAAAAAATAAAATCTTTGTGTTAACATAAAGGAGTAAATGCATCTATATCAAGTCAAATTTAAAGCAAAATATTTACAATATAGATAGAAGATTTTCTGTTGTTTGCAATTGCAAAAACATAATGAATAACAAAGAACATTTGAATTGCTTATTTTAAATTGGTTTATCTTCTTTCAGACTATTAGTGGCATGAAGTTTGAAGTAGTTATCAAGTTTAGGTTTTATAAGTGTTTAACTGCTTTCGAAATGAAAAAAAGCTTTGTTGTAAAGAATTTGTTCTATTGTAGAAAATAGAATTTGGTTGAAAAAGGAAATGTGTTGTTAAGTCTATTTATAATCGATATGTTTGGATCAGGAGTTGGCATCAATTGCAAGAGTTTAATATATCAGGGTTGAGATCAGAGAGTTAAAAATAAAAGCGCTTACTTTGCAAAATAGCTTAATACATATATTTATTTGAGGGGAGGAGAATTTGTAAATCATTTTTATAGATTTTAGGAGTATGACATAAATGCACAAAAATAATTTGCTATCAGATTAATAGTTTAGTTGTTGAGTGCAAGGAGTAACATATTTGATCTCCCCACATCCCTGGTAAAACACTTCTAGATTTATTTGTTTTAATTTGGTTTATGGTTTAAAGCTATAGAGTTGAAAGAGTAATAACAATTTTTTAAAAATTTTAGTTTTACTTTGGTTTTACTTTAGTTTTACTTTAGTTTTACTTTAGTTTTACTTTGGTTTTACTTTGGTTTTACTTTGGTTTTACTGGCTTCCTTGGTTTTTGGAGCTGATACATTTTGATAAAATTAATGGTTTTTTTCACATGTGATTTAAACAGAAACAAGATTTCAATAGCATTTACAAATAAAACAATATTAAAATTATGTTGTATTTAACATTATGTAAAAGAATACTTATAAAAATACTGTTGTTATAAATAACATAATAATTAACATAATAAATAACATAATAACAACATAATTCTTATAAAAATACTGTTGTTATAAATAACATATTAAATTATGATAGTAAATATGTAATGATAAATTGTAATAACAAAACAAAAACACAATAGTGACAGTACTAAAAAGCATTGTAATAAAATTAAACTCAATAAGTATTTGTTAACTATGGCATTTAATTTTATTCTTTTTTTAGGATAGTGAGCAAATGAAGCAAAAGAATCCAATTTTAATTTCAGATGCTCTCTTTACAAAGAGAAAGAGAAAAAGAAAAAATGTTGCTGGAGCATTAGTTTCTCAGGTTTCAAATTTATTTACAATGACTCTATGTCTAAATATTGAATTTTTTTTTTTTGTTGTTAAACATTTTTAGTATTCATAGTTAACAAGTTAAATAAAATTAAAAATAAGTGTTATTTTGAAAATAAGTGTTATTTTGAAAATAAGTGTTATTTTGAAAATAAGTGTTATTTTGAAAATAAGTGTTATTTTGAAAACAGTAATCAGATTTAATGAATGTACTTTAGAATAAGCAGCTAACCAAAAATGACAATTCACTTCTAATATCAAATGCTCTTTTTGACAAGCAAAAGAAAAAGTATGTAAAAAAGGTATATAATTTGAGACAAGAAGTAATTATAGTTTGTAAATAATAAAACTTTACATAGTAAATATAAAATATTAGTTTTATGAAGTGTATGAATTAAAATTATATTAAAAAACCTGCCATTATCAAATATTTCAATACCTAAATAAACTGTTAACTTCTTCCTTCATTATATGAAATTGTTGCAAAGAGAGGTGATAAAGTTGCAATTTTTATACACAGTCTATCAAATAAACATGATTTACAGAAGTAGTCATTTAATTATTAACCAATATTTTGATTCTCTTTACATGCTCAATAAACTCAACCTTGTAAATATACTACTTTAAAGTTGCAACATATATGTTGTCAATGTTGCTAGTTGTTATTTTTACATTTGTTGTCAATATTGCTTGGTGTTGTTTATATATTTGTTATCAATGTAGATTGGCATTGTTTATATATTTGTTGGTTATATTGCTAGGTGTTGTTTTTACATTTGTTGTCAATGTTGCTTGGTGTTGTTTTTACATTTGTTGTATATATAACTTGGTGTTGTTTACATATTTGTTGTAAATATTGCTAGGTGTTATTTTTATATTTGTTATCAATGTTGCTTGGTATTGTTTACATATTTGTTGTCAATGTTGCTTGGTGTTGTTATTATATTTGTTGTCAATGTTGCTTGGTGTTGTTTTTATATTTGTTGTCAAGGTTGTTTTGCGTTGTTATTATATTTGTTGTCAATGTTGCTTGGTGTTGGTTATATGTTTGTTGTCAATGTTGCTTGGTGTTGTTATTATATTTGTTGTCAATGTTGCTTGGTGTTGTTTATATGTTTGTTGTCAATGTTGCTTGGTGTTGTTATTATATTTGTTGTCAATGTTGCTTGGTGTTGTTTATATGATTGTTGTCAATGTTGCTTGGTGTTGTTACTGCAAATATGTTTTGTTTTGAGATGGTTTTGACAAATGTTTAAAAAAGAAGATATATTTTTCAAACATGGCTAAGAATGCTAAAATTAGAGATGTACCGGAATTCCAGCTGGATTTTTTTTCTTTTAGATCAATTCGCTTTTGGCTGTAATTAAACTTTTTTTTTTTTTTATGGCATGTGACACAGGCAGTGTAAATAAATTAAAAAATCATTATCCTACTGAGCAATGAAGAACTATAGGTAAACCTAGGTAAAAATTACAAATGTAAGTTTATTTTCAGATATAGTAGTACTGCAAATACCTTTTCAAAAATTATATTTGTATTTTTTACCTAGGTTTACTAATAGTTCTTCATGGCCCTGTAGGGTAATGATTTTTTTATTTATTTACACAGCCTGTGTCACATGCCATAAAAAAAAAGTAAAAAAAAATGTTTAATTACAGCCAGAAGCAAACTGATTTAAAAGAAAAAAATCCGGCTGAAATTCCGGTACATCCCTAGCTTAAATGAATGTTAATAGTTTTCTTGAACTACAAAACTAAATATTCTCTTTCATCTAGGTTAGTAATAGTTCAGTACGTAACTAAATTACTTAATAAAATTGATTCAAATACTTAAAAGTAAAGCACTAATTATCCAAAAAACTTTCATTAGTCTCAGCATATTAATAATATTGATTCAAATACTTAAAAGTAAACCACTAATTTTTCAAAAAACTTTCATTAGTTTATCATATTAATAATATTGATTCAAATACTTAAAAGTAAAGCACTAATTATCCAAAAAACTTTCATTAGTTTATCATATTAATAATATTGATTCAAATACTTAAAAGTAAACCACTAATTTTTCAAAAAACTTTCATTCGTTTATCATATTAATAATATTGATTCAAATACTTAAAAGTAAACCACTAATTTTTCAAAAAACTTTCATTAGTTTATCATATTAATAATATTGATTCAAATACTTAAAAGTAAACCACTAATTTTTCAAAAAACTTTCATTAGTTTATCATATTAATAATATTGATTCAAATACTTAAAAGTAAACCACTAATTTTTCAAAAAACTTTCATTAGTTTATCATATTAATAATATTGATTCAAATACTTAAAAGTAAACCACTAATTTTTCAAAAAACTTTCATTAGTTTATCATATTAATAATATTGATTCAAATACTTAAAAGTAAACCACTAATTTTTCAAAAAACTTTCATTAGTTTATCATATTAATAATATTGATTCAAATACTTAAAAGTAAACCACTAATTTTTCAAAAAACTTTCATTAGTTTATCATATTAATAATATTGATTCAAATACTTAAAAGTAAACCACTAATTTTTCAAAAAACTTTCATTAGTTTATCATATTAATAATATTGATTCAAATACTTAAAAGTAAACCACTAATTATCCAAAAAAAACTTTTATTAGTCTCAGCATATTAATTTAATCAAATAAAGCCTTCTGTTAGTAATAAGTAAGATTATGTAATTGATGGTTTAAAAAGTAGAATTTTTTAAACCATCAATGTTGTTAAATGAAGCAATGATCTCCAAAGAGGTTGGCATAAGTTTCTTTCATAAGTTTAATCTCAAAGATATTAACTACTCACAAAAATTTGCACCAGAAAAAGTTTTCTTAATTATAGGTCACAATGTGACCTATAATTAAGAAAAATAATGAAGGAAAATAACAATTTCCACCATACAGTGTTTTCCAGTGTGTGTGACACAATATGTTAAACATCTGAAGTCTGTAATGGTCTAGAGCAATAAATCGATATATAGTTTCAACAATATCTGTGATGTTAAGATAATAAGAAAATGCTTCAAGGAAGGTTGTTATCACTGATAAAGGCATCCTAGAAACAATGTTATTTTTATGCAGAATGTTGCTCTTTACCACTGCAAAGCAAAAATCTGCCATGAAGTCTTTATATAACAACATAGCCAAGAAGGACCATCAATAAAAGTTGTCCTTGATGGACAGCACTCTTCTTCATTTCCTATAACTTCAGGGGTTCCTCAAGGTTCTATACTTGGCCTTATACTTTTTTTTAATTTATATTAAAGATCTCCCAGAAATTGTCACATTTAAATGGCATTGTTTGCTAAAGATCAAGAAGCTAACATTTTCTGTTTGCATGGAGGGGACATTTGAGCTTGAAAAGGATCTCACTTCACTTGGGGCTCTCAGTGGCTGGTGAAATTTAACTCAGATAAAACTCAATTTTTTTTAAGCCAATCGTTATCGCAGTAATCTAGATTTTCCTATATTTATGAACGGTAATATACTCGACAATCATCTACCCTTCATCTTCTAGGATTAACCCTTCCGATCTTTCTTGGAAATTATTTATCAAAACCGTTTTAAAATTAGCATTTGCCAATGTTGCATCTCTTTATCGTGCTTGACACTTTACTACTTTGGATTCTGTTCTTTATCTCTATAAATCTTAAATCCGTCTTTGTATGGAATACTGTTGCCATATCTGGAGCAGATTTTTGAAAGATGTCTTTTTTCTTTTAGACAAAGTGCAAAAAATAGTTGAACCTGCTCTTGCAGCCAACTTTTAATCATTGTCACATTGTCGTAATATTGCTTCTCTTTTTTTTCTTTCTATAAATACTATGACAGGCACAGCTCTAAAGAGCTAGCTTCTCTTGTTCCATCTACTAAAGTTCATTTTCGTGTTACTGGTCATTCAATTGAGTCTCATCCTTTTACTGTGACTGTTCCTAAGTATTCCAAAAATTCTCATGCGCCTAGTTTTTTTCCTTGAACTTCTGTTCTTTGGAATTAGCTGCCTTCATCTTGTTTTCCTGATTCATATAGTTTGCAATCTTTTAAGTCGTCTATCAATCGTTATCTTGCTTTATAATCTTCATCTTTTCTCTTCCATGAACCTCCAACTCTGTTAGTGTTTGCTTGCAGCCTAGTTAGAAGTGAAGAATTAAAAAAACAAGTTCATGAATTTTAAAAAGAATAATATTTCACTGATGAATCACTTTCTTGCCATTCGGTTATAAGATTCAGAGATAAAATGATTTATTGTAGAGAATTCTATAATATTGAAACACTATTGTGTCTTCCAGTCCACTTTGTTTCACATCTCTTGTTTTTTTATTGACTATTGAAGTATCATTTTTGTTCTTTGTCTTTTTTAACATGTGTTCAAAAAAGTTAAATAAAATCAGATATAGGCAAATAATTTTAATAACTAAACTATATTACGCTAAGTTTATATAATACCCAATGATGTTAGTAAAAGTTAAAGGTTCTAAAATGTCATTTTCTATACTGAGATCAATATTTTTTTTATTTTCAGGAAATTAGGAAGTGGACATCAGAATATTAAAGTTTTCTGTTTTATTAACCTGTTCTGATAAAAAAAAGTTTCTTGTTAAAATATGTAGAAGTATTAATTTATTCTCCATATCCATCGGCATTGCTTATTTTTTTTAAATTTATTGTTTTTTTTTTAAATTTATTGTAAATTGTGATAGTTGTCAGAAATTTTTGCAAAAAATTTTTTTTGTTGCTTTTATCAACAATTAAAAAAGAAGATATAAAACAAATATATTTCAAAGAAATGTTTGTATATAATAACTTGCATAAACCCGCCCCAGATGCAGCGCCAAAATGAAAAAAAACTTTATATATTATATTGATATCTAATTCTTGAATTTAACATTTATGTCTAAGTGTGCGTATGTATGCAAACATGTATGACGTACAATTTATATTTAGAGAGATAAGAAGATAAGTGATAAAAATTTGTTTCCTTCTGAAAGTCAGGTTACAAAATACTTTAATTCGTTTTTTTTTCTTCTTTTTTAATCAACATTATATAAGTTCTTTTTATTATTCATTTATACTTTCAGAGCAGTGAAAAGAAAACCAAGAAGAAGTCCCTACTACTATCAAGTGATCTATTTTTACAGAAGGTGATTAAAATTAAGCAAAAAAATAATTTCAAGTCAAAAAAGGTTTTTATGGTTTTATAATTGTTATAGCTCTAACAATCTAAAGTTATTAAATTAAAACACAAATATTTCTATATATATTTATATAGGTTATAAATATTTCTATATATATATTTATAAGGTTATAAATATTTCTATATATATATTTATAAGGTTATAAACATTTCTATATATATATATATATATATATATATATATATATATATATATATATATATATATATATATATATATATATATATATATATATATATATATATATATATATATGTATATATATATATATATATATATATATATATATATTTATATATATATATATATATATATATATAGGTTATAAATATTTCTATATTTATATTTATATAGGTTATATATAAATATATATATATATATATATATATATATATATATATATATATATATATATATATATATATATATATATATATATATATATATATTTATATATATATATAGGTTATAAATATTTCTATATTTATATTTATATAGGTTATAAATATTTTTATATATGTTCAAGTATTCTTACTTTAATTTATGTACAATTATGTTGCATGTAGAGTGTCATTTCTAAAGTTTTCAATTGTTCAGTCATTTTTTTCTGATATTAATTGTAATTGATAATCTTCAAAAGATGTATGTATGTATGTATGTATGTATGTATGTATGTATGTATGTATGTATGTATGTATGTATGTATGTATGTATGTATGTATGTATGTATGTATGTATGTATGAATATATGTATGTATGCATACACACGCTTAGGTAACTTATTATTTGATTCTGGAATTTTCTCCACCTCATATAAGATAGCTCAAATACTGATTCATGAAAACTTCACGAAAACTGATTTCCATCCTAATTTACGGTTTATATCCTATCTGAATACTATTTCCAAAGTTTCTATTGTAACTTTTTCTGTAAATTTTAACACTTTACAATATGGTTTCCGATTCAAACGTTCAACTGAGACATCCCTCTGCAAGATTTTCAATGACATTTTGATAAAACTTGATAAGTTTTAAACCACCATCTTGCTCTTTCATGCGGACATATCCTTTAATAAAATTGATCACAAACTGCTAACTGAAGGTGTCAAAATCGAATTTGACTGGCATTCTGATTGGCTGTCATATTTTTATCCTAATTTTATCTCTCAACTGAAACTTTACTCCTCGAGATTTGCATTTGCATCATATTTTTACAGTCGAAAATCCTTTGTTTATATTGGAACAGTAAATTCAGAAATTTTAACTGTAGAGTATTATTGGCTTTTTTTTTTTTTTTATGTTTGTGTTCCCAGTAAGTTGCATCACAGTTGAACTTGGAGCTAATCATCTGTATGCTAATGACACTCGTCTGTATACTGCCATCAGTATGCTAATGACACTCAACTTGTACACTGTCATCAGGCTAGGCAAAGACCAGTTAAACAGCATTTCTGAATGTGCCTATGCTTATAAATTAAATTAAACCTAAATAACATTTTCAGGTACAACTCTATTTTTATCAAGTTTGATAAATTTTATTGGTATTACTTTTAGACGAAACATTCTGTTGACCAGTTCATTAAAAAACTTGTAAAAACATGCAGCCATCATATTCATGCACTTCACTATATTTGTCCATGTATTACCTAAGATGCAGCAAAAATAATTGTCAGTGGGATTGTTAACTATATATATACATATACAAGTATATATACAGAGCCGTGGCTATGCCCCCAAAACGAAGGAGTGGGGGAGAGCGAAATTAGGTAGCCCATTTGCATATTTTAGGGTACTTTTGGAAATTTAGGGACCTTTTTTTATTTTAGTAATGTAATTAGAAATTTTTTTGAGAAATTGGGGCCCTAATAACAGATTTTAAAGGGGCTTCCAACACACTAGCCACGACACAGTGTATTGTGTATATATATATATATATATATATATATATATATATATATATATATATATATATATATATATATATATGTGTGTGTGTGTGTGTCTGTGTGTGTGTGTTTGTGTGTGTGTGTGTGTGTGTTTATATGTATAAATATATATATTTATATATATATATATGTGTGTGTGTATATATATATATATATATATATATATATATATATATATATATATATATATATATATATATTTATATATATATATATATATATATATATATATATATATATATATATATATATATATATATATATATATATATTCACTGTTTTTTTATTTATTTTTTCATAAGAATGAAGGCAACAAATTTTACAAAACCGAGAAGCCTCTTTTTATAAAGAAAGATACTGATCACATAAATGAGGAAACTTCTATTGAGGTTATATTTAGTTTTCTTTAAAGATTCTGTATCTTCTAAAAATATTTTTAGAGTGTTTTTTTTTTTTTTTTTGGGTTATTCAACCTTTAGAGAGACTTTTTTTATATAGGTTTCAAATAATAACCTCTCTCATCTTCATCGTGTTTCAAGTATTTTTAAGGCAAGAGAACGAGGTCAATTAGATGTGGAAAAAATTAAACCCAAAACAGGTCCTTGGAGTAAAGCAGAAGTTTTGCAACTAGAAACTAATATGGCAAGGTTTTTAAAATTGTATAATATGACAAGTTCAAAGTCTCTTGTCTTTCCTAGTACCAAAGAAGAGCTAGAGTTTCGAAGAAAAACGAATTTCAATTTGAAAATGTGTCATGGTATTCAAAGGTACGGTCAAAGCATAATGCGAAAGGTTGTCATACATTTTGTAGGAGCTTTACAAGAAGGTTATCCAACTGGAAAAGATGCACAAATGTTTTGGAAAATGGTAAAAATATACGGTACGAATTGGAAGTTAATTGGCAGTTTATTAAAACGGACGCCTCAATCTTTATACCATTTTTATATCCATGAAAAAAATAAAAAGAATAAAAACTTCCAGAAAAAATCATGGTTTAATGCCGAGACTGAAATGTTAATTAAACTAGTAGATGAGTCTTTTAAAAGAGGAGATAAAATTCGATGGAATAAAATATCAGAACAAATTGTGAGTCGTTCACCAATGCAATGCAGACAGAAATGGTGGTGGATTAAAAAACAGATATTGGATAACTCAACCAGTTTGTGTTCTAATGAAAATGCAGAAGTTATTAAGCAGCTATATTCTCAATCCAAATTTTAAAGTGTTGTTGGCTTTAAAATTGATTTTGCGTTGAGCGTGTATAAACTGGAAACATCAATCTAAAACTCTAAATATCAGATACTTTGATGATTAATTTGTCTTACCACAATTAATTAATAATCAACTAATCTAAAATCCTTTAAGGTAGTACATACCCTTTTTTTATTGAAATTTTTTTAAAAAGCAAAAAAATTTTACATTCGACATAAAAAATTATAAAATTTTAAATACAGTTAAATTAGTATTTTTTTCTTTTAAATATTATTTACATATATTGCATTTTAAGGAAATTTTTTTACAAGACTAAAAAATTTAACCAACATAACAACTTCCTTAGCTCTCACTCATTCTTATTGGATTTAATGGAAACTGTTCTATACCATTTTTCGACAATGATAAGGTGCATGTTTATGTTGAACACAACTAAAGATAAAATTACTTTGATTTTTGATTTCATATTTATTTTCAATTTAAAATTGTTTTTATTTCATATTTTTTTCTGCATTACTAAAAAGAAAATTTAATTAAATATTATAATATGAAATTTTAACCAACATTTAAAATGGTTATCCCAAAACAAGCGCCAAAAAAAAACGCTCTGCACCAATTGAAATTCAACAATCTACCTCGTGATTAAATAATTTTTTTATCAAAAAAAGGCCACTGCCAAAACTTTTTTTTCACTTATTGGTTAACTTTAGAATTTGTTGTACATACAAATCTAAGGCTATCCTGAAAATTTCAAACCAATTGGAATATGGGTAATTTCGGGAAACGGTTTTAAAGTTTTCGAGTGTTTAGTATATATGCTTTTTTTTTTAAATTTTTTTCATTTATCTAGCATTTTCAAATATTCTAAAATTCCATGAAATCACATAATCTTTATATTTCATGCATCACAACTTTTACCTTTATTAACAACCTTTACGGGTTTATTACCCCTATTTATCTCTCAATGATCTTCCTGAGCAAAAAACAAATTAAGAAATTACACTTACAAAAATCACTATAAATAACTTATTGGTGGGTGCAGTGACGGATCCAGGAATTTTTTGGTGGGTGTAGTTTTATTGTCAGACAACAGTTTCTGCTTTATATTTTTTGTAAGGAAAAGTTAATAAGAGTGATAAAAGAGTCTTTTGTCCCAATCGATGAATTTTTTTTTAAATTTATTTACTTGATTTGTGCCACAAAATCAATCCTTTCTTAATCTATATTTGATTATTATGAAAAAGTAGAGTTATTTTAGTAACTCAGTTATAAACATGGTTGCAGACTATTGGTTGAACATTACTCCTATGTCTCTGAAAGTTCCACCGTCAATTTATCTCTATGGCAGAGCCGTCCCTATGGTTGGTAATAACAGACGGCAGAGCCGTTCCTATGGTTGGTATAAGCTTCCACGGAATTCAATATTATATCCGCCAAGTACATAAAAAAAAAATTATTTCCCTCTCCCCCTTCCTATTTTTTTTTTTTTTAATAACTCTTGATTATAAATACACTTTATAAATACTTACCTGAGTTAAAAAGACTTATTGTAATAACTGTACAATAATGCACAATGTTTTTACAAAGATGTCTGGCTATGAAAATAGCTGTTTAGCAAAAAGTACCCGAAACCTTTTTAAAATTATACTGGTATTAAATTTGAATTTTATTTAAAGCACAATTCATAAGTATTTCTAAAAAACTTGCTAAAACTTGTTTATTATCTGTGGATAACTCTGTGTAAAAAGCTAAACTAAACCATATAGACTTTATCTACCATTTTGCTTTGCAACTTCTTACCATTCTCTTATAACTTTTTAGGCGCCTCAGTAAAGAAAAGGTTTGTTGCTTGTAATTTTTCAGTATTATTAGATTAAAGTTTTACTTTTGAAATTCAGCCAGTTAGGTGAAGTTCAACTTAATTTCTCACAGGTCAAACTCACGTAATAAAGCCTTTGGTTTGGCAATAATAAATAAGCCTAATAAAGCCTTTAATTGAATAAAAAGCACCTAAAGATATGATGTGGTCTTTCCATCTACTCTATCGAGAACGCTAAATTTCTGCGATTATTTTTTGAAGAAACTGAAGATTAGGACGAAGGAACTAAAAGACGGGTGTTTTATGACTTTTTTAAAGTTGTATCATCGGACATTGTGCTGATCTCAGTGCTCAGATAATCTAGCAAAGGAACAATGATAACCGATTTAAAATAATTTTAGGCTTGTTCAAAGCATATTTGAAGGTGTTGATTAACAATATTTCTAAGTAAAGAGACAAAATCTTTTAATGCTTGAATAAAATTCAAACTATAAAAAATATAATTGTTACTTGCTTGCACAATCGTGTAATTAAAAAAGTTATATTAAAAACATATCATATGCAAAAAATAAAATTATTATTAACTTCAGTAGAAGAACAGTAGCAGAGGTTGCACGGTTAAATGTTCAGTAGCAGAGGTTGCACGATTAAATGTTCAGTAGCACGATTAAATGTTCTATTAATATTTAAAGACATTATTTGAGACAGAAAACACAGGAATAAAAAACTTTTGTTAAATATCCATGCCATGATTTCACAATTCATAATATTCAAAGAAAAATTGGTAATTGCTTTTATTAAAACGGTAAATAAACAAGTTTTTCCTTTATGTCTATATTGGAATTTATTTCTTTAAAAAAACATAGTGATTGTGTAGAAATGGTCAGAAAAAAAAATCATTTAAAATTCTTTCATAACTTAAGAAATAAAGATTTTGAACTAATCAACGGCCATATTTTATGCTAAATGTTGATCGAGCTTAACTTTCCAAATTTTAAACTTTTTCTCTCCTCATTTATCATTAAAAATGGAAGTTAATAAAATAAATCGCAGTTTAGCGTAATAAAACTGGGAATGTCCTTTGTTTTATTTTGATGTACCGTAAGATTGGGTGGCTTTGGCCCTACGGAATGACTTTAGCCCAAGCGAAATTTTTGTTTAAAAATGGTTCAAAATCGATACCTCAAGGTATGCCGGTTGATGTTTAGTAGCAAATTGTGGGAAATTTATTATTTAATTAGTCTAACTTAGTTTACTTAACTCGAGTCTTTGTGATATTATTGTAAATTGCACTTTAGAAGAAGCACCTAAAATTCGAATTTTTTTAGGAGTGTAAACTTTTACATTGATAGCAGTACCTTTAGAAGGTTTTTTATTGGAATATACACTGAATTGTTTTTAAACTTTTAGTGTTTGATTCTATCTTGTTTAAAAGTTTAACAGTTTATTACTTTTTTGTAATTGAGGTTTAAAAAAAAAAGGTTGTCTTTGGCCCACTACATAGGGTGACATTGGCCCGGGCTAAAGTCACCCCATGTATTAGAGTAAACCTTTTTTAGTGATCATTTATAGATATTATGGTAGTTACTATGTTGGAATGAAAAATTTTGTAGTAGTAATGCAATAGAAAATCAGTATAACAGTTTGTATTAGTAAATCAGTATAAAATTGTAGTAAAATTTGTTTAGTTCTTAGTTTAAATATGTCACAAAATTACAAGCCAAATCGTGGAAGAAGAAAATATGTTACTTATACTTTAGAACAGTTAGACAATGCATTAAAAGATTTAAATAGTGGTTTAATTACTCAAAGACAAGCAGCTTTGAAATTCGATATACCAAGATCAAAATTAAAAAATAAAATAAAACAGACATATCCTAAAAAGTATGGTGGTCAGCAAATATTTACATCAAAAGAAAAAGACATGTTTAAGGCATATGCAATAAAATCATCTGAGTTTGGTTTTCTGTTGATAAATATGATTTAAGATCCATAGTAAAAGGGTATTTAGAGAAAAAAGGCGTCATACCTCAGTTCAAAAATAATTTTCCAGGTGGTGATTGGATTCGATCTTTTTTAAAAAGAAATCCAGAACTCACAGTAAAATTTACAAGCAACATAAAGCAAAAGAGAGCAGAAATAGGAACGACTGTGATTGATAACTACTTTATAAATCTATCAAATAAAATAAATAATATATCACCTGATAATATATGAATCTAAGATGAAATCAATCTCAGTGATGATCCAGGTAAAAAAAAAAAATATTAACAAAGCGTGGATGTAAGTATCCTGAACGCATCATTAAATCTACAAAGACCTCATTCTCTGTAATGTTTTGCGGCAATGCTAATGGTGAATTGCTACCACCTTATGTTAATGACAAAGCTGAGTCGTTATGGAATACATGGATGGAACATGGGCCACCAAAAGCCCGTTATAACAGATCAAAAATTGGTTGGTTTGACTCAACATGTTTTGAGGACTGGTTTTTCTCTTTACTTCTTCCAAGACTTAAGAAGGCTCAAAAAAGAAGTGTCATTAAAGGTGATAACGTATCTTCACATTTGAGCATTGCAGTACTGGATGCATGTCAAAGCAATAACAGAGGATATGTGGCATTACCAGCAAACTCTACACATCTCACGCAGCCATTAGATGTTGCCTACTCTAGACCTATGAAGACTGGCGCAAAATGTGAATGGAAGGAGAAAGGAAAAGGAAGGAGAGTTGCTTCTCTTCCTATAGATGAATTTTCTAGACTTTTAGACCGTTTAATTACCAACTTAAATGAACATGGGAATGATAACCTTAGAGCTCGTTTTCGCAAAACTGAAATTTTTCCATTAGACAAGTCTCAAGTGCTTTCACGACTACCATGTTGTAATGTAGGTTTAGACTCAACTATTGATATAGTAAGCCAATCATTTTTAGATCATTTATGTAAGTCACTAAATGATCCCTCAGATGGTTCTAAAAAACCAAAGCGACGTAAAGTATGTGCTGTCCCAGGTAAAAGCTTATATTCAATAGATATATCATCGTGTGTTATAAATTAAAATAATAGATTAAATTCAAATAATGTAGATACACCTATCAGTATTATAAATACAATTGAGACCAACAACATTGATTTTGCTGGCCCAAGTACAAATACTAGAACTACTGAGACTTCTAATCTAATTTTTGCAGATGTAAGTTTAGTTGTAGAAAGACATACAGAATCTTTAAATCATTAAGCATTAGGCAAAAAGAACTTTCAAAATATTGATAAAACAAAAAATGTTTGTAAAAAGGAGAAATTATTAAATCTTGTAGAGAATTGTTATGTAATTGTTAAATGCAATGGAGAGTTAAATCCTGGACAGGTGTGTTTATTTATTTTGAGTTATTTATATATAGCTAATCAATTAGTAGATTTTATCACTAATTAATTTAATAACTAATATTATTTAATGAAACTACTAAAAAATTTTAAAAAAACTTTCGAAATTTTATTATCTGCAGTTGAAAAAATTAAGAAAAAATGGAGCAGAAATTACTATTATGAAAAAAAATGGACTTAACTGAAAATGGTCACTACCAGCAGAGCAACTTTTTTCTGTCAGTCTGAAATAGTCGATTTTATTGAGGAACCAAAGAAATTTTCGAAAAGAGGAATTTATTTAGTTCCAGAACTTTTACACTAAATTTTTTATAACATTATTTTTTGTCATTTTTGATTACTTTATACCTAAACTGTTTTGTTTATTTGGTACCTAAACTTGTTTAGTTTGTACCTATATTTTATCTACTGTACTCAAGAACTTTGTTACTAAATCTTTTTTTGTCACTTTATTTTTGTAAATTTATTTTTTTTTGCTTAAATATTGCTGTTTATATTGTTGTTTTGCTTCCTTTAGTTTCTTTTTACAGGGTTGGGCCAAAGTCACCCTAACACATAGGGCGACTTTGGCCCACCATTTAAACCATCCAAAAGGTACTTCAGGTAAATAATTTTCAAATGGGAGACAGATAGTTCTAACTATCCTTTCTATGCACTTCTAAAAGTACTTAGTGTTTGAGGAAATAACTTTTGTGGCTTTAATACAATAGACATTAAGATGCAAAATGGGCCAAAGCCACCCAACACCCAATCATACGGTATACTTGTTGTCGTAGAACAAATTTTGCCACCTGATGATAGTTAAATAATTAAACTTGATAAAATTTTTTACTTAGGGTGTATGTTAAAAGGTAAGTCCAAAATTTGCTCTTACTGAAATAATAATTTTGATTTTTAATTTATTTTGACTAATGAAAGAAAATATTTAGAAAATAAAGTTCTAAATAAAGAAATAAAATAAGTGATAAAAGAAATGAGAAATAAATATGTCAATTCATGTTTCTAATTAATTTATACAACTCAAAAGTTAGTTTAACCTCCATCAAAACCTATGAAACCGAAATACTTTTATATTTTCCGGGTTTTAATTGCTTGCCAACCGTTTTAGATCACTTAAAAATGAATATTATTTTATTTAAGATGTTAAAAAAACTGTCTTGTGCTCAAAGAAAAAAATTAACAGAAGACTCTAAAGCACCCAATCAAGCTGTTTTAGTTAAACTACCAAAGCTAACTCATTATTTTGTTCTCCAACTCTTTAAAAACATCTAGTGAGACCTCCACTCACTAGATGTTTTTAAGGAGTCTCTAACCAAGAGTAATGTGAGTCTAACCTAGAGTAAAGTGTGTGAGAATGACATATTGTTGTGAGCAATCCAATAACGGTTTTACATAGTTCAACAACACCATTGCATGCATGATAAATTGACTGTGCAGTGCCACAAGTAAGTTGTGGCACTGCAAAATCAATTTTATCTTACTTTCCATTCATCTTTAAAGCCATATTTCAAAAATGTAAAATATTTTATAATCTATTATCATTAGGATCTCTTATTACTGTTTGAAGTTCAACATTGAATTTAATATCTGCAACTTAACATTGAGAAAAATTCCTCCATGATACAACAATGTTAATAAAATCTGCTGTGTCTTGTCTTTCTTTTACATGCTGCAGTCCTGGATGATAAATTAAAGTATATAAAAAGTAAGTTTTGTCATTAAATACCCTTAAACAGGTTGAAGCTGACTTTCTCTCAACAATGGAAATATTGAAGTTTCATTTAAATGGATAATTAACTTTTGGATTCAAATTCATAACATTTTTTTAAGATAATCCCATTGTGCTACCTTACATACTACTTTATCATAAAAAATAAGTTGACCAGTTTTTTCAGTAAGCCAATTATTTCTAATATTTTTAAGCAAAAGGATATAATCAAAGACTAAAAAAATACCATCATTAGTCAACCAGGGTTTATCTGAAACTGATCTTTTAAAGATTTAAAAAAATACCTGATTAGCTCTATTTCATCGCATATTACAGCTTTAACTAAACCCGAAGACTCCTTTATTGATTAGACAGTAAAGCCAATTTGTTCAAAAAGAAATTGAGTGTTTAATTTACTTATAGGTATCATTTTGGTAATGAAAGATGGTCTACCGAATTAGCAATTAACCATTAGACTTAATATAGTTTTTGCAAGAGACGTTGAGTTGTCGATTGGTTTTCTAAATAATGTACCACCATGGTATTACAATATTTTTTTAAAAATAAACCTCATCATGCAATAAAAAACAAAGTTTTTGTTTTTCTTCAACAGACTTAAAAATATTAGTCAAAAAATGTCATTTAATTTCAAAAAATGTCATTTAATTTCAAAAAATGTCATTTAATTTCAAAAAATGTCATTTAATTTCAAAAAATGTCATTTAATTTCAAAAAATGTCATTTAATTTCAAAAAATGTCATTTAATTTCAAAAAATATCATTTAATTTCAAAAAATGTCATTTAATTTCAAAAAATGTCATCTAATTTCAAAAAATGTCATTTATTTCAAAAAATATCATTTAATTTCAAAAAATGTCATTTAATTTCAAAAAATGTCATTTAGTTTCAAAAAATATCATTTAATTTCAAAAAATGTCATTTAATTTCAAAAAATGTCATTTAATTTCAAAAAATGTCATTTAATTTCAAAAAATGTCATTTAATTTAAAAACTTTTGAAGTTATTCATGTTGAAGTTTATACTGAATTGGTAATCTGCTTGCAATTGATTTAATTATACAAACTTCTGGATGTAGCAAAATACTGAAAAGATCTAATAATAACCTCCTTAGAATAATTCGTACTACCAACACACTGTGTACCCATAAAAGCTAAATGTTCCGGAATTACAATTTCTTTTCATTCAGGAATCAAGTTCTTTAAACAACATAAAATTTCTTTTAATTTAGGCTGTGTTGATTATTAAAATTTTGTTTTTAGAAATTGTATGAACTTTAGACATTTTTCGGCGCCATAATGATAAGTTTCAAAATGCAAATACTCACTAACCTTGATTAAAAAACATGAAACCCCATTTAAATAAACTTGTGGTTGTAAATGAATAGTGTTATTAAACATAAAGCATACTAATGGAACACCTAAACTATTTAAAAGATTTTTTTTCTTTTCAACCAAAGTTACTAATATCTTTTTCTAAAAAAGTTGATAATTCGAAAACACAAAGAAGCACGAGTTGTTGAACGTAAATGGGAATTTGACAAGACGGTTTCTTTGACTTTGCCAGACAGATGGCGGAGATTTAGGACGATATTTTCCTCTAAATATTTGCTTTTTCAATGACACAGTAGTTTGTGCAACTCACAAACTACTGTGTCATTAGTTACTTTTAGGTTTGCATTTGGATTTACTTAAATCCACATTTATTTTTCTTCTTCATTTTTAGAAAATCGATATACTGAGAGCTTTAAATTATCAGATTTCGTAATTGCAGATAATTTGTAGTACAGCCATAAATGCAACATTTTTACCCATACTTTAATATCACTAAAATGGCGACTATAGTTAAGCAAAATTTAAAATAATTTTGAATAGCGAAATTTTAATTTTATTTGAATCAAAATTTGAGCAAAATCGCTCAAATTTTTATTAAAGTAAAACTGAGCATTGCTCAGCTTTACGTCAATAAAAATTTGATCAAAATTGCTTAAATTGTTATTCACGTAAAGCTGAGCAATTACTCCAAAAACGCTGAGTAAAAGCAATTTTGTAATCTTCAAAAATCTCCAAAAACGCTGTAGTAATCTCCAAAAACGTTGAGTAAAAATAATTTTGTTTCTTTATTCACCCGGCCTAATATATCATGCAGTATAGGTCGCCGTGGAGAAACCCTTTCGCAAAAAAATTTTGCAAAACAAACTTGAGTTTAGCGTAAATAAAAAAAATCGTTCAAAAGTATATAAAAAAAACTTTTCAAAAATAACGTTTTTTAAATAGAAAAAGTAATTAAATATATAATACACGTAAAGAAATTTTTAAAATGCAGGATTTTTGAAATAGACATTTCAAAAATGTATTTTAAAAATTTCTTTTAATATATTATACTACAGTTGAATCCCGTTAACTCGGACCCTGGATAAGTCGGACTTTAATTTAGTCGGGCGAATTTTTAATTCCCCCTGAACATTCTCTATCAACTACTGTAAAATCATCCGCTTAAGTTGTACCTTGGTTAAGTCGGACCAATCGCTAACTCGTACTGCTTTTTGAGGTCTCTTCGGCAAAAAACTTCGCCTACAGGTGGTTGCACCCCAAAAGCCACGCGAAAGTAGGAGGGTCTAGATTTATTTTCTAGGGACAGATCATAATTTTGTTAATATGGGTTCTGAAAGATAAGCCTAAATAGAGTTCTTCCTGGTAGGTATGGTTTTTTAAGTCTCGCTTGAGTTCTTTTTCTAGAATGTTGAAGTTAACCACACTTTTTTTCATGCACCCCAAAAACAACATTGACAAAATTGGCTATAAAATCTAAACTATTTGGAATTAAGACCTGATTTTTTGTAGAAGATAGTTATAATAAATTAGTCTTAGGATGATTGTATCATTGCTAACTTAAATTTTTAGGATGTACTTCAATGTACCACAAAAACCACATCATGTGCACCCCAAAAACCACGTTGGTTATTTGAATATTTTAGAAAATATGTAAAATAATTCAATAAAAAAATTTTAGGATGTACTCTAAGATAGTAGCTCTTTGTCATCATAAAAAAAAAAAAAAAAAAAGTTAATGTATTGTGGAAATACTACCATTGAACTATGTTATGTTTTTTGTTGTTTTAGAATTTTGTTTAATATAATATTATAAAGTAAAATGAAACCATCATCTGCATTACATCTACGTGTAAACAAATCAAGAAATCTCAGTACTAAAGCTGATGCCATAGTGGCCAGAAAACACACAAATGATAAAAATAAACAGTTAGAAGCTGCAATAAATTGGTGCAAAAAATTTAATGGAAGGGGACAAGCAGCATTAAAGACAGGTTTGTTTCCCCTTATTAAAGATAGAGAGACAATCAACAGGCGATTAGATGGAAAAGTGATTAATGGAAAAGAAAGAGATTATTGTACTATACTTACAGATGATGAAGAAGCATCTATCGTGCGTTTTATAAAAAATAAGAACAGATGTTTACAGGCAATTAACAAACAGGACATAACCAAATTAATTATTAATGTGCTTCGTGTGAGAGATTACACTAATACAAAAATGAAAGGTGGACGGAAGTTTCAAAAGTTATCATTAAATGCTCGAGCTGCTCTAGAAAAGGGAAAGTAAGTTTAATTGAATTCATTTAATCTACAATGATCCTATAAAAGTATGTAAGACGGGTAATATGACTCTTTTCTTTATGTAAATATTCCATTTTATAGATTGAGTCGATCATTTTGGCTTCGTTTTAATGCTAAACATAGCAGCCTTACAATCAAACGCCAAGGGAGTGTCTTGATAAACCGTGCACTTAATTGTTCAAGAGAAATGGCATGTAATCATTTAGGTAAGTTATTAATGAACAAATATAAATTCATAAATCTGAATGTACTTTTTTTTTTAATTTGTTCATTTCCCTATAATAACATTATTTCAGATTCCCTTGCTAAAGAACTAGTAGATGTTGGTATTATGATAAATGAAAAAATGATTGAAACAGGGGTTTGGAATGGCACTGTTGATACATGCCGAATATTTAACTGTGATGAAACACCCCAGTTTATTAATTATGGAATTGATGGTACCACTTCTGGATTATTTTATGCTGGCAAAGGAGATGCATGTCAAAGAATGTATAGAGAAAAGAGAGAATGTGTCACAATTCAACCATTTGTTTCATTTTCAGGTATGCTATAATATGTTATGGTTCAAGAAAAAATTGAATATAAATAAATACAAGCATTAAAAAACTTTTTTATTTTTTATTTTTAGGTGACATATGTATGTGTCTCAGTTAATATTTAAATGTACTGGTATTACTAGTTCTATGGTTCCAACAGAAGCAGTAAATAAAATTCCCCATTTGTTGGTCACAACTACAGATAATGGAGTATCAACCCATGAATCTTTCTTGGCAGCATTGAAAGAGTTTGATGTCTACTTAAATGAAAAAAATGTTAAGCGACCCATCGTTTTATTATCAGATGGACATAGCTCTAGACTAGACTTTGATGTATTATCTTTTTTGGAGTCCAAAAGAATTCATCTTTTTCTTACTCCACCAGACACAACAGGAGTTACTCAACTTCTTGACCAAGTAAACAAGAACATTCATAGTGAGTATCGTAAGCAAAAAGACTCTATGTTTTCTGATATCTGTTCCTTAAACAAAGAAGCTTTTATGTTAGTTTCAGCTAATATATGGGACAAGTGGACAACCAAAGAAACGCTTGTAAAATCTGCTAAAAGGGTTGGTGTTGCCGAAAATGCATTGAGTGTTGATTTTATGCAAAAAGACAAATTTGAACGAGCAGAAAACTGTATTGAACCAGAAAAACAGACTTCTCCACTAATTTCTTCGCCGGACAAAAGACGTGGTTCAGCAAATTATTGGAAATCAAAATTTGAACAAGCGATGGAGTTGATTGATGAACTTCATGAAAAGAGCATTCAGCTGGAAGAAATACCTGGTTTTATGACAACCAAAAAGATAAAGCCAAAATTAACAAAAGATGCAACACGTGTTACCCAAGTACATGGGTCAATGACTGCAAGCGATGTAATAAATCTAGTTGAAAGCATAAAAAGAAAAAAAGAAAAAGAAAAGGAAAAAAAAGAAAATGCTGCAAAAAAGAAAGAGGAAGTTACAAGACTCTTTATAACATGTAAGCTTCAATGCTATTGCGAGGAGATAAAATGTAAAGCTTTTGGCTTAAAGCAGTGTCCAACCTGCCTCAATATAATGCGGTCCATTTGCAGCAAAGCATACTGCAAAGTAAATGAAAAAAACCCAGAAATGATTTTATCTGCAGCTGCTAGAAAGAAATAAATGTGATATTCAAAATCTTTTTTATTGAATGAACTATTTGTTTTAAATTTGTTGTAAAGACTTGTTCTGGATAAACTTTTTTTTTTTAACTTTTTCTTAGCGCACCCCAAAAACCACATGTTAAAATGTAATTTTTAAACTTTTTTTTACAAGTTTCTCTTCTACTTATAATAAAAATGGTTTGATTTATGTAAATAGCATATAAAAGATAAGCAAACTAGATGGGATTTGCAAACTTAGTCTAAAAAACCAATATTTTATAGCAATATTACTTAAAACTCAATTATTTTTCTCAGCACTTTTTAAGTTTAAAACGGTTGTAAAAAAAACTCCTTTATTGTCAATATTGATTTCTTTTGTTTTAATTGTTGCTGAAACATTCCTTTATGAGAAAAAATTTCTCATATGGTTTTAAAATGCACATTTAAATTTTTAGAGCCTTTTAACTGACCGCGTTGTTTTTGAGGTGCCTTAGTTTTTGGGGTGCATCTACCTGTAACTAGGATTTTTATTTTGAATTGCATATAAGTGCATATAATAACAAAACTTCCAATACTTCAATAAAAATTTAAAACTTTAAACGCCCTAAAATAAAACACTTTTGAGTCAAATATGATTAAACATAGCTAAACATTAAAAAAAAACAACACAATATGTTCAGAAGTCGAAAAAAATAAAACTTCTGCAAAAAGAGTGTAGATGCGTGTCTCCTTAAATAAGGATATGGATAAAGCATATTATATGTGGCTTTTAAACACCCGATACAAAAACATTCGTATGTCTGGAACCATTTTCAAAGTCAAAACTTTGCATTTTGCAAAATAACTTGGTTGTGACAACTTTCAAGCATCCGATGATGGTTAGATAAATGGAAAAAAGGAAACATTGTATCGTTTAAAACAATATCTATTTATAATAATATTTTATCATTTCATTTTTTCATTGATATTTGCATTTTTTTTCAGTCATTTGTCTAAAGAATAATAATAAGCATGGAACATTTCTATTCCATCCCCCATAAACCAATAAATTATCAACCCAATTCTTTTGTTTTAATTTGTTTAAAGTCATCACCACGTTTTAGCTTACTACCACGCACTGCATAAAAAGTAAATAAAGTCCTAAACCATATCTAATAAAATTTATGCTGATTTTAAAGTTCCTTTTCTTATTTTTCGTAGGTGAAAGTCAAGATGTTACTAATGAAATGACCGCAAGGAATCAACTTTGCCAACAAAATTGTTTAGTTATAACTCGCGTGATATATTCAATGCAGATGAGTTCGGTTTGTTTTATAAAACACTTTCAAAAAAAAGCTATTGATAAATGCTATTGATAACAGAAAAAAAAATGCCTTTAATCTCCATATTTGATGCTATGAAAATGCTTGTTCATTCTTGGAATGAAGTTTCAGAAACCACTATTATTAACTGCTTCCGCAAAGCAAGATTTAAGAAAAGAGTAGGAGTACCGGAAAAAGTTGAAGAGCACTTCTCTGCATTGAAAAATTCAATTGATCAGTTACGTCAGCGTGATGAAGGTCTTGTTCCGGAAGATTTTACTAACGAAAATACGTTTACAATTGGTAATGACGTTTCAGTTATAGGAGGAGTGATGTCAGATGAAGATATTGTTCAAGATATCATTGAGGTAGTTGAAAAAGAAATGCAAGAAAAAAAAGGAAACGAAACGTCGGATGGAACGGTAACTAAGCCAACGACTGAAGAAGTTTGTAAAGCAATTGATACTCTTGTTATTTTTATCAATGTTTACTCAGAGTGGTAAAATCGGAAGAGTAGCTTTAAATGCTTCAAAGCTGTTTAAAAAAGAATTGTGCAAGTCACTGAAACAAGCATCAATTTTGGACTTTTCTTGTTTGTAGTATATATTATATACAAAAATATTTATACAAAAATGTTTATAGTATATATTATATACAAAAATATATATTTCACATAAGATCATATTATTCTATATATATTTACATAATATTTATATATCGAAGAACATCCGATAAGTCTCGAAATCTCAATAAATCAGACATTTTCAAAAAGTCCAACTTAACGAGAGCTTTGCTTAATTGGGACATTCGCTAAGTCGGACTATATACCCCTTCAGAGTCCGAGTTAACGGGATTCTACTGTATTTAATAAAAGCATTAAACAGAAAAATAGATTTATCACGGAATAAAAAATTTCTTATGCTTGAAAAACCATAACATTAGCTTCATTGCATAACTGTTTAATGTGTTCCCCAAACTTTTGATTTTTATCAATTGTTATCCAAATAGTTTTATCTCACCGTAGGCAAAAACTCTTAAACTACCTATTTTTAGCGATAGATTTTTTGTGTTATTTAAACCAACTAAAAGAAATTAAAACTTATCTGGATTAGCAACCATAGAGTTTAACTGAAACAAATTGATGGTATTGGTTGTTTTTTTTTGCAAACTAATCTTCTCAAAGCTATAATCACAAGCATAAATAGTATTATCATCCGCAAAGTTACAAAGTTCGGTATTTTTAATGAATAAAAATGAATCATTAATACATTTAACAAAGTAGGTTCAAAGATTGACTCTTGAGACACTCCAGATGATATATCCACCCAGTTTGAGACAGAAGACCATATTCTTACAACTTGTTTACGATCATAAATAAAAGATAGTAAGAGATTAAGACTTTCTTTAAAAAAACCAGAAGCATTTAATTTAGCAATTAGTAAGTCTTGCGGGATAAAGTTGCTCGTTTTTGAGAGGTCCATTAACATTGACCTAACAACAATCCATTATTAATACATTCATGCCACTTGTTAAGTAACGAAAAAACTGAATGCTGAGTAGTATAACCTCTTCGAAAACCACACAAAAATTTATCTAATCTAGGCTCAATAAATATCAAGATTTATTCATATAAAGTTGTTACAAAAACTTTAGAAAGGGCTGGAGAATAAAGTTTAGGCTAGTCTGTTCTAAGATCAGGTAAAACAGTAGAATTAATAGTAGTAGTAGTTTTTGTTGTTGTAGTAGTAGTAGTTGTAGTAATAGTAGAAAAATGCTGCAACTGGTTTTCTTGTATAACCTACAGGTTATGGTAGCCTAATCTACTTCATATTCTAATTTTATTTACATCAATATATAAAAATTGTCATAGTATTAAGTATAGATAAGTTCTTTATTGTTTTTCCATTTTTTTTTTTAGTTATACTCTCGATACTTATGCGGATTCTCTAGTTTTTATTTTATTTGACACCCCAACACGAAGGACAAGGGGTTTCCTCCATGAGACAATGTCTATATTGTTAACAATTTTATACGCTTGCATCAGATCTCACCTATTGCGACTGGTTTCTGATAAAGTTAAGTTCAGTATATTCAAACGATCTTTGTATGACATATAAAAGTACGAAAATATTAAACGGGTAGCTCTTCTTTGTACTTTGTCAATTTTATCAATATCTATTTTTGATGATGGATTGCTAGCTGCTACCGCGAATTCCAGATGAGGTTGTAGAAAGGCTGTGTATAGAATTTTAAATTGCAGAGTCATGTGACGGAAAGTAACGCCATTTCAAGTCCGGCGTTATCATGATGCCCAAACCACGTTTGACTAAAGTTGATGCTAGTTCGACACTATTATTGTTATTAGGTGGCATTGAGTAAAAAATGTTTGCTTTACCTATGTGCATAATTTTACATTTATCGATATTGAATTTCCATTCCCAGGTTTTAGATCATTCGGCTATGTTCCAGATATCAATTTGAAGTTTTTTCGAAGCTAATAGGTGGTCTAAACGGGCCAGCAATTTTGTATCATCAGCATACATTTTACAAAATAGTTAACGGTATCGGATATATCGTTCACAAAAA